TATATATATATTTTTAATTTTATTTATTTATGATAGTCACAGAGAGAGAGAGAGGCAGAGACACAGGCAGAGGGAGAAGAAGGCTCCATGAACCGGGAGCCCAACGTGGGATTCGATCCCGGGTCTCCAGGATCGCGCCCTGGGCCAGAGGCAGGCGCCAAACCGCTGCGCCACCCAGGGATCCCTAGAAGACATTATTGATGTGATTTTAGTCTTCTGAAATTTGCCAAGATTTATTTTGTGTCCTATCATATGATCTATCTTGAGAATGTTCCATGAGCACTTGCAAAGATTGTATTCTGCTGCTGTTGAGTGAAATGTTCTGTGCTTTCTAAGTCCATTTAGCATAAAGTATGGTTCAAATCCAATGTTCCCTTGTTGATCTCTATCTCAATAATCTATCCATTGCTGATGGTATTGAACTACCCTACTTTTATTGTATTCCTATCTATTTCTCCCTTCAGATCTGTTAGTATTTGCTTAATATATTTAGGCATTCTAGTGTTGGGAGTGTATACATTTATGACTGTTATATTTTCTTGATGTATTGCCCATTTTATCATATTTGTATAATGACTTTCGTCTTTGTGACTGCCTTTGACTTAAAGTCTGTTTTGTCTGATCTAAGCATAGCTATCTCCACTTTCTTTTGGTTTCCATTTGCCTGGAATATCTTTTTCCATCTCTTCACATTGAGCCTATGTGTGTCTTTAGAGCTGAAATAAGTCTCCTTGTGGACAACATATGGTTGGGTTTAGTTTTTGTATACATTCAGCTACTCTCTGCTTTTTATTGCTGAATTTAATCCATTTACATTTATATGTAAGACTTACTACTGCCGTCTTATTGGAAGCTGCCTCCTTCTTCTTTCTTCATTTTTCTTTTCTCTTTTCTTCTTCTTCTTCTTCTTTTTCTTCTTCTTCTTCTTCTTCTTCTTCTTCTTCTTCTTCTTTTCTTTTCTTCTTCTTCTTCTTCTTCTTCTTCTTCTTCTTCTTCTTCTTCTTCTTCTTCTTCTTTTCTTCTTCTTCTTCTTCTTCACCTTCTTCCTCTTTGCCTTCTTTTGGTATCTCCAATCTTTCCCCATATGTTTCTGTCCAACTTTGTAAATTGGTGGCTTACCATGATGATATGCTCAGTCTCTCCATTTTTATTTTTTGCAAATCTACTCTAGATTTTTGCTTTGTTGTTACTATAAGGCTTACATGAAACATCTCATTAATACAACAATCCATTTTATGCTAATGACAACTTATTTTCATTTGCCTTGAAAGACTCTACTCTTTTATTTATTTGAGGGATAGCAAGAAAGCAAGTGTGGCTGGAACAAAATAAAAAAATATAAGATGAAGGAAAGCTATTAGAGAATTACGGGGCATAGATCTTTCAGGACCTTCTTTTGAGAGGTGCTGTAGTGACTTTGAATCAAGAAAGATGGAGAGTTATTAGTAGATCATAGGTAGAAAGATGGCCTGAATCTTAAAATGATCCCTGCGGCTGCTGTATTGGGATTGACTGGAAGGCTAGGGTGAAATCAGAGGAATCAGAGATATGAAAGTAACTTGGATAACAGTGAGAATCCTAAAGGTAGTGAGAAGTACCAGATTATTATTTAATACTGAGGGATCTGCTGTCCTACTATAACACTGTATCTTGCTAGGAGTCTTGAATGGTACCTTAGAAGAATTAGGGAAATAAGGATAGAGAAGAACTGTGTTTCTGATCCCAAAACACTACCACTAATATACTTTCTTATTTCAATTTTCATGAATACCTCAAGTAGCTACTAGTAAATTTCCAATCCATTTCTTGTGCTTTAGTTTCTTTTAGGGCAAATGCAGGCCAATTTTGCTATAGAACACTGGATAATAAATATTTTAAGCTTTATAAGCCATAAGATCACTGTCATAACTACTCAACTTTGCTGTTGTGGCACAAAAGTATTCATAGACAATATGTAAAAGAAAACAAAAAAGGATGTGTCCCAATAAAACATTACTTGTAGACAATGAAACTTAGATTTCATATCATTTTCACATGTCATAAAATACTATTCTTATTTCTTGTGTTGTGGGTTGTTGATTTGAGGTATTCTTGGTATATTCCTTTTATCATTATGTAATGTCCCTTCTTGCTTCTGGCAAATTTTTGCTCTAAGATCTACTTTATGTGATGTTAATATAGCTACTTTTTTTAAAAAAATAATGCTCTCATAGTATATATTTTCTATAATTTTCTTTTTATTGCTGAATTTGAAGTAAGTTCCTTAATGATAGTGTATAGTTGGGTCATTGTTAAATTTTGTATTGATTTTTTTAAGTTTTATTTAAAATCCAGATAGTTAATGTACAGTATAATATTGGTTTCAGGTGTACAATTTAGAGATCCTACACTTCCACACATCACCCAGTACTCTTCACAACAAATGCACTCCTTAATCCCTCTCATCACTGATTTAACTCATTCTCCCACCCACTTCCCTTCTGGTAATCATCAGTTCGTTCTCTATATGTAAGAATCTGTTTCTTGGTTTGTGTCTTTCTTTTTTCCCCTTTACTCATTTGTTTTGTTTCTTAAAGTCCACATATAAGTGAAATCATATGGTATTTGTGTTTCTCTGACTGACTTATTTTGCTTAGCATAATACTCTCTAGCTCCATCTACATCCTTGCAAATAACAAGATTTCATTCATTTTTATGACAGTAATATTCCATTGTGTGTGTGTATGTACTCCATGTATTAGCTTCTAGGCTCATTCATGGTGTTGCAAATGGTATGATCACATCCTTTTTGTGGATGTATAAGATTACATATTTATTATATATGTATGTCATATATGTAAATTTATAATTTTTCTTATTCATTTCTTTATCGATGGATACTTAAGTTGCTTCTATATCTCGGCTGTTGTAAATAATGCTTCAATAAACATAATGCATATATCTTTTCAAATTAATGTTTTTGTTTTCTTTGGGTAAATTATTGTATCATATGGTATTTCTTTTCTTTTTTTTATTTTTTGAAGAACCTCTATTCTGTTTTCTGCTGGAAAACAATTTACATTCTCACCAACAGTGCACCAGAGTTCCTTTTTTCCCACATCCTCAACACTTATTTTTTCTTGTGTTTTTGATTTTAGCCATTCTGAAAAGTATGAGGTGATATCTCATTGTGGTTTTGATTTGTTTCCTTGATAATTAGTAGCATTGAGCATCTTTTCATGTATCTGTTGGTCATGTATATGTCTTCTTTGGGAAAATATCTAGTCAAATCTTCTGCCCTTTTTAAAATCAGATTGTTTGTTTGCAGGAGTTCTTAATTTTAATGAAGTCCAATTCATCAATTATTTCTTTCATGAATCATGCCCTTAGTGTTATCTCTAAAAAGTCATTACCAGTACTTGCTTTTGTAGCACATATACTAAAACATCATTACCATAAATAAAAAGTCATTTAGCTTTTCTCTGATGCTATCTTCTAGTAGAGTTATAGTTTTGAGTTTTATATTTAGGTCCACGATTCATTTTGAGTTAATTTTTGTGAAGCATGTAAGATACGGGAGAAGATTTTTTTTTAATGGATGTCCAGTTGTTCTAACATTATTTGTTGAAAATAATATCTTTGCTCCATTGTATTACCTTTGCTCCTTTGTCAGAGATTAGTTGACTATATTTATGTGGACTGAGCGGTTTGTTCTGTTCTACTGATTTGTCTCTTTGCCTACCAATACTACACTATCTGGATTACTGACACTTTATAGGCAAGTCTTGAGGGTGAGTAGTGTCAGTCCTGCAACTTTTTTCTCCTTCAATATTGTATTGGGTATTCTGGGTCTTTGGCTTCTTCATATAAATTTTAGAACTAATTTGTCAATATCCACAAAATATCTTACTGGGATTTTGATAGCATTGCATTTAATCTAGAGATAAATTTGGGAAGAATTGACATTTTGATAATATTGAGTATTCCTATTCATGAACATGGAATATCTTTATATTTATTTGGTTCCTGTTTGGTTTTATTTATTAGAGTTTTGTTAGTCTTTGTTTTTAAATTGGTGCATTTAGAATAACAGTTTTTTGTTGTTTGTTTTTATGGAAATGCAAATTTTCATAGTTCACTTGAAAGGTATGAAAGGCATCTCAAGGGATCCCTGGGTGGCGCAGCGGTTTAGCACCTGCCTTTGGCCCAGGGCGCGATCCTGGAGACTCAGGATCGAATCCCACGTCGGGCTGCCGGTACATGGAGCCTGCTTCTCCCTCTGCCTGTGTCTCTGCCTCTCTCTCTCTCTCTCTCTGTGTGACTATCATAAATAAATAAAAAAAAATAAATAAAATGAAGAGGTGATTTAAAAAAAAAATGAAAGGCATCTCAATTGAGTCTTTCTAGGAGAAGTCAGAAAAGGCTTTCAAAGTACTGTTCCTAACCCTTTTCTCTGAACAGCAGTGGTGGTTCAGGTTTAGATGTGATAAATTTTATGAAGGAGAGGACAAAGATCAGCCTTTCTTTTTTATATTCAACTCTATTTTAGTTAGTGTTTTCTTTGTTTGCATGTGCAGAATCTGTCCTTGTAATACTCTCACTAATACTCATATCTTTTCATTATATGCTTTCCACCTTTTATCTTTTGGAATTTTGTTTTGTGACTGTAGAGCTTCAGACTGAAATATAAATTTCATAGTGTGTTATTTCCAAGGTTTCCTGTAATCTGATCCTATGATATTTTATCAACATTGTTTTCCTTTGTTTCTCTTCTGTAACTTAATACTGTAACCAAATGAACAATTTTTTTTCCTTTGCCCTTACTCTTCTGTGGGCCTCTGATATACCATCTCCTTACCCCAAAACTATTTGTAAATGAAAGAAGTACTAGAAAAATGTGGAGGAGAGGAGATGGAAAATAATCTCTCAGTGTTCAGAGTGGCCAGATAATTGAAAGTATCAGTGCAAATAAATAACCCTGGTTGTTACAGAGGAAACTGAGAAACACAAGTGGAACTTACCAGCTGCTACTGGACCAATTACTAAAAAAGAAAATAGAATATATTATTATTTTTAAAAATTTTGTACTCAGTTCCTATTGAAAATCTACTTGGAACACTGGAAAAGGGACTTTTGGGAAACAAATCTTATATGAATATGCTATACCTTATTAATTGAATATTAACTACACTTTAATAACCTAAATATCCAGGCCATTTTGGAAGGCCTGTTGGATGGGTTATAAGAGTAAAGCTTACTTTTCCTAATGAAATAATTATTTTAACATTCTTAACCATACCAAGAGTCACAATCTTGCAGGAAACTGGTTACCAGTTAAAGATTACTAACTTAAGTTCCTTCTTCATTTTTCTTTTCTGTTTTTCAGCATTCTATCTCCCTTTCAAACCTCTATCACCATGTCAGTTCTCATCATATTTCTTTTTGCAGTACAGAAAGTTTATTTGTAACTATCAATTTAAGAAGTGTTGTCATGATAATTTTTTCTGTGTTTCTTTTTGATAATCTCTGAGATTTAATCAAGATGCTAAATCTAGCCTAAGAAGTAGCATAAGTAAGACATGTAACCCATGTAAGATGATAGTTCTTGCATGTCTTTCAAGGATGGGGAGTAGGGTAGAGTGAGGATCAGTTATAATAGCAAATGAGAAATCCCAAAAGCTTCAATCTCCTGGTCCTCTTTAATAATCCTAAATCTTTCATTGGTAGTTATCTTTATTTGGAGTAAGCAAAGTAGAATTGAGGTTAGCCCCTCTTCCTTTTCTTATCAATTTTTATGAGAACTTAAAACTCTTCAGGAGCTAGCAATGATTATTCAGATTTCACTCATTTTACTTTTCTTCCCACTTCAATCTCTTATCTCATTATGTCTTTGTTCTATTATTCACTTTCCAGGTTTTTTTTTTTTAAATATCTGAGCTAAGTTCATTACTTTCAGAAATTTGTTCTATTTTTTCATGAAAAGTCCATATTATGCCTGTCCTCTTTATCCTTTGCATCAATATATTTTTCATTTAAAATCAGTAATTTTAGGAAATGCAGAAAAATCTGAGAGTGAAGAGATGGGAAAATATGCCACTTAAGTTGCATTAACAGAAGTGATTACAGCCCATGAGATTTCATGCCCATGAAAGCATGAAACCTGAACCCTATGGGAGTCCACAGGATACTAGAATTGCCAAGAAACAGTATTGATAAGTTAGGGGGAAAAACAAAACAAAACAAAACTTTAATCACCTAACACAAAATTTAAGCTTGTAAAAATTCAGTTACTAATCATATTCTTTATAGCAGAAATGGGAAAGAATTCCTGAAACAATATTCCTTTCTAAGAAGGAAGCTGCAAAGAAATATGATAAATCAACTCCTCTATTATTTTGTCCAGTAACCTTGGGCAAAGGGCAAGGCTGGAGGCATTAATATACCCCCAACTTTATATAAACTGCAGGCAACAGAGTGGTGGGGGATGGTGTGCAATAATAATTATTGTTGTTATTAAGAGTTATTAATGTGTAGATATTAGTTTCCAGTTAGTATATCAAATATTATTTCACACAATTATTATTGATAAGTATTATTTATGAATTTTGAGCTAATAGTGACTTATGACTTATTACAATAGAGATTTATTCTTTGCTCGTCAGTTATTTAGAAAAGAGTTGAAATACAGTTACTAGGAGAAAATGGCTGCCCTTTGTATATGAGGCACAGGGAATATGGAAAGCTGCTGAAAGGCAGCTGCTGAGTTTATATAGAAAATCTCATCCAAGTCAAAGTCATACTTCCACTGGGGTCTTGAACAGAATTTGTCTTAATTCTAGTGCTCTTAATTATTGTAAGAATGAACAAATTTATATAATCTGGTAAAAAATACCCATCTCTCTCACAACACTTAAAGTGAATGCACTAGCTTATGTCAACTTCAAAGTTCTGACTGCCAAAGAAAGGATTGAATTACTAGAGGTACTTCAGAATCATGTATCAAAAACATAAAAATAGACAGCATAGGGAATATAGCCAATGGTATTGTGTGGTGACAGATGGTAGCTACACTTGTGGTGAGCATAGCATAATGTACAGAGCTGTCCCATCCACTTTGTTATATACCTGAAATACCTGTACACACCATTGTGTGTCAACTGTACTTTAATTAAAAAAAAAAGAAAAGAAAAGAAACAAAACAGACAAGTAGATCTTCTCTGGAAAGATTACTTTAAATGAGTAACTACTATGGTCTTTCTAATTGAGTTGGTGAAGTCATAATCCTTTAGTAACTAGGATATGAAAAATTAATTGTTTTATGTGGTATTGATCAGGATGGGGAAATATACACAGTTCTTAGGAAATTGGGGAAAATTCCATATTCATAGATAATTTTTGAAAAAGTATTTCTCTTGGAAATCATCCACTTGAAAAGTATGCAAAAGTAGACCCTTTGAAGCCTAGTAGGAGGAAGGAATCAGATGTTGCCTGAATTGAATTTAGCTCTCCCAATTATCATGCCCTTTCTCTTTTGGCTGAGTTCTGATTTCTCTGCTCTTTCTCACTCTTCATTTTTAGATTTCTCTGGTGGCTTGATTTGTTGATAAAATATTTAAACTGTCACCAGTGTTTGTTTTCCTTTATTTCATTTTTTTTAACAGTAGAGGTTTAGGCTTTCCACTGGTTTATACATAAATAAATCAATTGTTCCAGTAATATGGAATAAGGACAATGAAAACATCACATTTAGAGAAGATAGTAGAGATAACACAAATTCAAGTTTTAGAGAAATTACTTTACCCAAAGCCACATGTTTGGTTAAGTGTTCTGGCTGGAATTTGAACCTAGGTCCATCTGATTCCTTTATTATCCACTGCAATATATTACCTTAGCATTTTTTACAAATTAATACATGCAATTGGTTTTATTATTTAGAGTTATTCCTTAGAGCATATGTCTTGAAATGGAATTATGAGTTAAGATACTGTATTTCATTGTATCTTGCAACATATTTCAAGTGTGCTTTCCAAAAGGAAATTTCCAAATTTACATAAATTTAAATGGGATCAATGATGTATAAATGTATAATTTTTACCAAAGCATTGCTGACATTACTTATCATATTTAAATTTTTCTTTTTATTAGGTGAAAAATACTATTTCAGGGTCTTAATTTTTTATCATTTATTTATCTATTTACCTAGGCATTGGGCATATTATAGTTTCTAAATTCATCTGTCATTTAAAGAGGTATTAGATAATGGGGAGGTAAAGGGGGTTGAAAATATCAATGTGGAATCCTTTACTTCAGGGAAATTTTTCTAAAGAACACTGGAATTAAGAAATAGATGAATAATAACTTACCAATAGGTACTGGAGTAACTGGCAGAACAACATGAAATAAAAATATATTAACAGAGTTTTTGTATAAAAAATAGTTTCCTTCTTACTTTTTCCAACGTATTAGTAAAGAGATCTTTGGAGGACCCTAAACCTCCCCAAATAAAAACATCCATGATGAAATAAGAGGGATTAGCATTTCTTTTGTGGTACAAAAGTAGTTTCAGTCTGATGTAACTGGGTTCCTTATATTTCAATTTAGTACAAAGGCAGAGTAGGCTAGAACTTAAGTGCTTATGCCATTGTTTTTCTTTCTCATCTGTTATGGTGGATTTAAATCCTGCAGAGAACTTTTAAACAATAGCAAATTTAAATGCTGATTGCAGTTATTTTCTTTCCTGTCCTTACACCTAAGATTTATCCTCTTTTATTGGTACCTCCACATTTGTGATATCCCACCCTATATATCTTTTCCTATTAGCTGTATGGCAAATTTTATTTGTCATTAAAAGCTATTTGAAATTGTTTTTAGAAAACAAAATGCTTCTTTTATACTTATTCTCTTAGTGAAATGTTTATTCTTTGTTGAGTAATTAACAACCCAGCAAGTTGCCAAGAGGGAGAGGAAATATTTATAAATACAAGCATTGAATGGAATTGGTCAGTTAGGAAAATTATCTCCTTACTTTGGGATCCCAATTTGTACCAGATTTATGAAAAGAGAAGAAACTTACTGATAGGTACTGCTACATGGGCTAAAATCCAAACACAAATTATTAGTATAGGTTGACACTGATAACAAAATTGACATTGACAATAGTCTTATTGCTACTGTTTGCAGATAGGAATTTCTAGAATGAAAAGGGAAAGCAAGCTCTGAACCTTTGACATGAGTTACTTTGTCTCTCTTTTCCAATAGTAACACAGTCATTTTGAAAAAGTGGCAAAGAAGTGTCATTTTCCTTTTATCATGCAGTTTCTTTCAGAAATTGAAATACCACAGAGCTGGAAAAGCCTCATTTCCTACAAATTTTGCTTCCATTTTCATTCTACTCCCTTCTCTTATTGCTTATGTGTTTTCCCACTTTTCTCTGTCATTTCTACTTTATATTTAGTTGAAAATGTTTTTTGTTGATATCAGTAGAGCCAATCCAAATAGATTGAATGTTAAGGTCTTTCATATTCAGAAAAGGATTTAACTAGTGGAGCCAACCCCAGAATTGATGAATAAGATATAGAACTTACCTGGCTCTTCTTGTTTTACTGCAAAAAAGAAATCACATAAGTGAGTGAAAGATTTCTGGATGAACAGCAGAGTTACTTCTCAAACTTTATGCTAGAAGTTTTAGAAATAGGACTTCGAGGGACCACCAAATTCTGTATTTAGAATCAGTTCAATATGATGTGAGAATATCTTCAGATTGTTCTGCTAATGCCCTCTTAATTTGAGTGCCTTTTTGGAAAGAAAGGTTAAGAGTGGAATCATTGGGAGATGCTATTTCTTCCTTCTAGTTTCTCTAATTCAAACTGTTCATTGACTGGTAAGATTTTTAAGTCACTTATATTTTGTTTTCTTATTGTTATTCCTCTCTTCCCATGACTTCTTTGAAATGATGGCATTGGTTTATCAGGACCATTAATATGACTCTTGCTTTGCTAATTACCATTCATTATGTCAATTTGGGAAAGTTTTCTCTTTTCCCTATAAACATACTTGTCTTAGGGCTGGATGACCATATGTCTCACCATTTGACTGGGATGGAGGCACTGATGGACCTTTAGAGTCTGGATTTGAATTCCAGCCTCTGTTGCTCATAATTGTGGGATCATGGGCAAGTTACCTAGTCTCACTATCTCATTCTCTTTGTAATAACAATAACAATACTTATCTGATATAATGTATATGCATATATAAAGCCCTGAGTACAGTGCCTGGCACACTGTAATTACCAAATAAATTTTATTTGGTACCATATTAAGTACCAATTAGTTTCAATTATAGCCTTCAAATGAACATTAATAGTTGAATATGGAACAAACTACTGGAAATAGGAATAGAGAAACAAAAAATTAGAAGATGAGGAATGCTTACAATATTGATGAAGCACAAAGTCAGAAATATAACTCTTAAATCTTGATACATTCACATTAAAACAGAGCACAAAAGGGCCTCTAGATACCATAAAGAAACTTTTATAACAATATAATTGAGAGAAACATGTAACTTACTCTTCGATTTCTCTGGTCTTGCTTTAATAAAAAAGACAAATAAATTAGTGTGGTTGTCTGATAAAACAGAAACACATTTTCACTGATGTCATTCTAGGATGAACATCACACACTGAACAATAGTGAAAAGGATTATTAAGCAGGGACCACTTTGCCTTGGGAATGTTCTAGAAGGAAGGATCCAGAGCTAGTGATGGAGCTCACTTTTCCTTTTCCCCTCTAGATCCCTGATTGTGTGAAGTCAGGAAATGTGTCATATCCCACCCTATTTTAGTTGAGCTACTTTCTTGGTCCTCCTTTGTCATTTTACTTCTCTAGTCTTCACCCACAATCTCTGTCTCTGCAGTCCTCACCATGGTTCCTTACATTGCCCACTCTGTCACTTTGGTGAGAGTAGGTTTTATTTCCTCTTCATTGAACCCCACACTTAGCATGGTCTCTGCAACAGCAGGTACTTAACAAATGTTTACTGAATCATGGAAGAGATTCTCCCTACTGTAGCCAGCATCAGAGTGCTCCTCCTTTCCCTCTGTTCTCTTCAAGCAACCACGAGGAAGATTTTGTGCCTTATAAGTGAATGGGGATGGGGCATATGAAGGCATGCAGTGATCTCTGCTACAAGATTCATGAGGGTGAGCAAAAGAGATTGCTGGGAGAGGGGTGACTGTATGACATTCTGCGCCTAAACCCTAGAAAATTTTTAGTTTTACGATTTTGAAAATTTGATCAGGCTAGGAAAAATAATTTCAATGGTTTTATTTGTTTTTTGTTCTTATTTCATAGAGGTGAAATAATAAACTTTTGGGGCAGCTTGTTCTTTTGTTCTAGAGAATCACTAGAAAGGGCTAGGTGTGAAAAAGCAAAGCAGGGATAATATGACAAAGTAAGATTTGAAAAGGAGTTCTCTGATACACTATTACCCCCAAGCAATCAAAATACATGTAAAAATGAAAATACCACACAGAAGAAAATCGTTTTCTAAGTATGAATTTGGGTTGCATTAATGGTGAAAACTATTCCTTCAGTGGGTAAAAATGTGTGTATGTGTATTCTTGTTCACAATTGACTAAGCAGCAATTTCACTGAAGTAGTGTTGTGAGGCTGCTATTTTGGGGCTCAGGTTATAAATATCAGTATGAAAATTCAATTTTTCATTGAACATAGCACCCCAAGGCACTTTGAGATGAGTGTTTTTTTCAGAAGGCAGTGCCTTGATAAAGAACGGCATCACTCATGGAAGTAAGTGGGGCTCCTTCAAATAGCCTCATGGACAGTGAATAAAATAAGAGGAACCAGAAGTTTGTTCTGGTAGACTAATGCGTAAGATTGTGTCATGACTCTCTGAGAGATTCTCAGAGCTTGGAGGACCAAGATACATTGCAAGAGAGGCTGGATCTTTTATAGGTGGACATATTGGTGATCCATAGCTAATGTTGCCATGATGACCTAGGTCCTTAGGACTTTACAGTATTATTGTCTCATTTGCTTTCTTTTTATTTTGAGATATTGTAAAAAATAATACCTCAGAAATCAATAATCATACGATCTATAATGTAACATTTGTCATTTTTGTTCACAATTTTTCTTCTAAGAAAGAAAATAATATAGGGATGCTGAAAACCCTTTGACTTGAAATGAACCACCCCAGGTTCATTTTCTTCCCTCAATTATGCATTCAGTGTGTATCCAATAATTTTTGAAGGTACTTTCATATATATGTCGATCCTTCAGCAATATGATGCATTGTTTCCATAATTTCATTTGTCTGTTTTATAGTTCATGGAATTTCTTTAAGGGGGTTATTCTGAATATCTTGTCCAATAGTCCATAGATTGTCATTTCTTTAGGGTCAGTCATTGGATTTTTTATTAGTTTCCTTTGATGGAGTCATATTTCCTTGATCATTTATGATTTTTGTGGCCTTGTGGTGGTATCTGTGCATTTGAGGGAGTAAGCACCACTCCTAGTCTTTACAGACTGAAGTTGACAGGCAAAACTCTCTGGCATTCAGGCCATAAGAGATTCTGGATAGGCCCTCTTGGGCCATGTATAAGCTTGCTGTTAGAGTTTTTGGGAAAGTAGGTCTAGTTCCTGGATTAGCAGGTAGGTAGGCCTATTTTTGGGTACATGGAAACCAGCCTGGTACCTGGGTCTGTTGGGTCAAGCTTGGTGTCTGTGTTCACTATGGTGGGCCTGGTCTTTGAGTCTGTGATGAAGGGATTGTGACCTGGCTCAGCTCAGACAGACCTAGATCCTGTGTCCACAGCTGCCAACCAGGCATTGGTAACCATTGGGCTGTGCCCAGCATCTGAGTCTGTGGAGTTTGGTCTAACACAAGGATGGGCCTGGAGCCTGTCTTCATGGGAGTGGGTGTGGCAGCTGGGGCTGAGGGGGAAATGGCCTGGTGATAAGGTTATCCTGGAGCCTTGGGGATAAGTGGGGAGTCTGATTCATGTGCGTTCATCAGGAGCCTGATGCCATAGGAGTCAACCAGTACATGCCAGAGTGAGCTGAGGACTCTCCTCCCATAATTGTATCTCTCTGTGAGGGACCATTTGTGCATGGAAGAGGGGTGATATGAGTAATATGAATCTATCCCTGCTACCTTCCTCAGTGGGTCTTTTCTTAATTCTGCACTTTACCCAGGTTCTATAGCCTCTCATCTGGAAGATATTATTGCACATGGATAGTTATTCAAATTGATGTTCCTGGGTCAGACAAGTGCTAGAAATTTTGTTGCTGCAATTTTACTGATGCCACTCCTCATTATCCCCACTGATTAGTGTACTTCCACTGATTAGTTTATTCCTGTGCTAAGACCATATGTGTTGAATCAGTATTCCTTTTAAAACGACTTGATAATCAAATGAAATACCTAGGGTGAGCCTTCCCTCTTGAGAACACTATGTTTGTAAATATGTTATTTCTTCTTAGATTCTTTTTCTTTTTTTATATAAAATTTTAAATGAATTATTTTATATAATTATATGAATTTCTTTTTATATGAATTATATGAATATTTTCTTTTTTATATGAATCTTTTTTATTTGAAAACAATCCTTTTGGGGATTTTTATTTGAATTTTATTGAATTGTAAATTGGTTGAGAGGAGAATTAACATTCATATTGTTATTGAATTTTCCTATCTTTGAAAATGGTTTATCTATTTATTCAGGTCTTATGTTTTTTAAAGGTATTGTCAAGAACTGGAGGCATAGTAAATATGAGAAACATTTTCTCTTTCTCTCTTTAAGTTGTCATGCTTTCAGGGAGACATGATTCAGAACTGGATCACAGAATAAAAGTCATAGCAATGTCTATTGCAATCTACAAAGTTATAGTCAGTTTGCTCATTATTATCATTAGTGAATAAATGAATTCTGCATGATAATTATATATTGACAACAGTCATTATATATCTGTCTATATCAGCATTGTAAAAGTCGACACTTAAATTATTTCTATTAGGGAGCTGGCAGTATAGAGCAAATGGGCTTTGGGTTTTATTTTAGGACCCAGTATATTGATCAATATAAGAGTAGACAAGACCATTTAGATGGCTGGCCTGTCTTTCCTCCCTCCTTCCTTCCCACCCTTTCTTCCATCCTCCTTACTTCTTCTCCTTTCCTTTCCCCTACCTGCCTCATTTCCCCATATTCTCTTTCAGTTTATTTCAGGATACGAGATTTTTTCCATCTTCTGTAATATCAAGACTCAGGCAAAATTGCTAAACTGGCTAGGTTAAAAACAAGGTGTTCCATTTGATTTCTCAGTTAAATTGTCTTCCCTAGAAGAAAATACATTTTTTAGAGGTTTATTCTTATGTTTATTCTTGTAAGTTTTGTTTCTTTCGTGAATAGTATAAATTTGTTTTCACATTACATTTTCAAAATTGTTGTTGCTGGCATAAAAAATGTTTTCAGTGTTGCTTTTGCATTTAGCAACGTTGCTGACTTTATATTAAGTATTAGTAGTTCATTTTTTGTAGTTTTTTAATGCAAATAATCAATAGTCTGAGAATAATAACGAACAACTCCCTTCTCTTTGTGTCTTTATAACTCTTATTTTTGTTTTGCTGCACAGGCTGGTATAAATTGGTAGCAGTAATCTTTTTTTCTTTTTTTAAATATTTTATTTATTTAATCATGAGAGACAGGGAAGCAGAGACAGAGACAGAGGGAGAAGTACACTCCCTGTGGGGAGTCTGATGCAGGGCTTGATCCCAGGACCCTGGGATCATGACCTGAGACAAAGGCGGACACTCAGCCAGGTGTGGCGGCAGTAGTAATCTAGTTCTTGATTTTGATTTGAATGGCAATGCTTCTACTATTTTGTTTTTTAGAATGATAAAGGAATAAATCTCCTTTATTAGATTAAGGATTTTTTTTTAAAGATTTTATTCATGACACATACAGGGGGGGGGGGCAGAGGGAGAAGCAGGCAGGGAGCCCAACGCGGGACTCGATCCGGGGTCTCCAGGATCAGGCCCTGGGCTGAAGGCGGCACTAAACTGCTGAGCCACCCGGGGTGCCCAAGTATGTTCTTATCTATTCCCTTTTAAGGAACTTTTTATTTCTTGCTAATAAG